TATTATTATGCTTTTTAATAGGCTTGTGATTCTTTAAATCTTTGGGGCTTAATCCTAGCCTAACAAGTTGCCACAGACTGGGTAGCACTGGTATATGTTACAATAATAATTATAACTATTTTATTTTATTTCATTTTTATACCACTGTTGTTTTAAAAAAAATATTAGGGTGGTGCACTACAAATCAGTAGTTAATAAGATGATAAAAACATTAGTACACGCTTAAAATATTAAATTTACAATAAAACCACAGAAAGTAATTCAACATCCCAATGTAAGGAGATGTTAATATTTATTCATTTAATCAGCATGCATATTGAAACATATCACCAAAAGGAGATAAGATTAGGTTCTTTGTTCTTTATCAAAAATCCATGTTCGGAGATGAAAGACAGCTGTCCTTACATATCCTGCATTAATATAATTTTAGCACATATGTAAAGATTCAAGTTGTATTCAGGAGCAAATATAAAAAATGAAATGTATGCAGGTAGTGGGTATTCTGTAATATAAATGAATATCATATTCTGGAGCAGGTCAGCTTGAGAGGTACAATACATGTATTATTTCACTCTGATTGTACACACAAGAAAACCCCCAATCCCAGGACATCTTCCTGGTATATTACATGTCAAACATATGAGCCATGATTATTCCTGCTCAGAGCTTGAAAACACATTACTTTTGTGGACTAAAACTTACAGAATTCTGCAGTGAGCACAGTTACTGATAGACAGTGTGGCCCAGTCAGTGACCATGAAAACTGAGATGTTCTGGAAGCTAAGGATCAAAACAAATAACTCTGGTGTTGCTCCATCTTCACCATTATCATGCAGGTGATAAGCAGGTCCTTTCTTTCTGTATTCCACTTACTATGCACACACCCTCTTGAACTGGAGCAAAAGATTTGTGTATTGGCTCGGGCTAATCGAATATGCATTTAAAAGCAAAGCATGTGTTCTTTCTGCCTAATGATTGGCTGTCTCACTCTCTCCATGCAGCTCTTTAAAGGAAAGACTTGAATATGTTGCTTGCTCATGACATGGATAACAGTGCTGCGCCTTTCCTCACTCCTACCTCAGGACTGCTCCTACAAGAACACCATCATGTAGAAGTATTGAATCCTCTGACAAGCAATGAGATGAAGGAACCTGGGCTTGGGAAAAACATCACAGCCTTACCTTTTGGATTGATGCCAGGAGAAATTGTAGCCACCAGCCTGCTGTTTGGGCCTTTGTGGTTGCTCTCTGTCTTTGGAAACTCTCTGGTTTGCTTGGTGATCCACCGGAGCAGAAGGGCCCAATCTACTACCAATTACTTTGTGGTATCCATGGCCTGTGCAGATTTACTCATCAGTGTAGGGAGCATGCCCTTTGTGCTCCTTCAGTTGGCTTCTGGGAGATGGATGCTTGGGAACATGATGTGCAAGCTAGTCAGATATTTTCAGTATCTCACACCTGGTGTTCAGATTTATGTGTTGCTTTCCATCTGTGTGGACAGATTCTACACTATAGTCTACCCACTGAGCTTCAAAGTGTCTCGGGAAAAAGCCAAGAAAATGATTACAGCATCCTGGATTTTCAATGCAGCACTGGTATCTCCGGCGTTCTTTTTTTTCAGGTCAGGCTGGGACAATCATTGTAATTTTTTCCCTCCACATGCCTGGGAAGGGACTGTTTACAGTGTCATCCACTTATCAGTGGCTTTTCTGATCCCGTCAGTTCTTATCATTCTCTTTTATCAAAAGGTCATCAAATATATTTGGAGGATAGGAACAGATGGTAGAACAGTTCGAAGAACAATGAATATTGTTCCAAGGACAAAGGTGAAAACAATCAAGATGTTTCTCATGTTAAATCTAATTTTTCTGCTGTCATGGCTCCCATTTTATGTGGTCCAACTTTGGCATCCACTTGAGACAAACGACAGAAAGAGCTCCTTGGTTTTTGTGTCAGTCACATGTCTGTCCTTTAGTTCCTCTGCCTCAAAGCCTACCTTGTACTCCGTGTATAATGCCAACTTCAGGAGAGGGATGAAGGAGATCTTCTGCATGTCCTCCATGAAATGCTACCGAAGCAATGCCTATACCATCACCACCAGTTCAAAGATAGCTAAAAAAAATTACATTGGGATCGCAGAACTACCTGCACCAGCCAAGACTCTTTCCAAAGACACTATATATAAGTCATTTGATAGAGAAGCAAAAGAGAAAAAACTAGCCTGGCCAATTAATTCAAACCCCCCAAATACGTTTGTCTGATCAATTAGTTCTAGTTTCAACCACTGTTGTGTATAATCAGATCAAGAGACTTCATCCATGACTCTGAACAAATGAATAGGTCAGGGGAGATGCATGCAATTTAGCAGGGACAATAAATGTTTTATTTTATTAAATGCATTGATTTTATTGTATACTAGATTTTTCCCCCCCATTTAAATCACAGCCTGCGTTAGAACTATTGTCCTAGCAGGCATGGACAACCACATCAAACTTTTGTGCTCTCTGTATTTAAGTTCATTTTGTAAAAACTGAAGAATATCTATAAATCAGGCAATTATGTAAAAAGGGAAAAGAGCAGATCCGTCAAGAGCAATGCTGCAGAACAATTGTTTATGCCAAGTTGGAAAAGTGAACAGACACACTCCAACGATTTCTATTTACCAAAGGTAAATTCTTCTTTCCAGGGTCAGCTTGGTAAAACACTGCCCCACCTTTGCCCTGTTATGGCATCAGGGGAATCTGCTAAAGAAATGCCTTTTAATGTTTTGGTGGTGTACACACACATGTATTGGAGCAATCTGAATGTCAGCCTCCTTCCCTGGATCTTCTGAAGCTGAAGATCTAAGGGCAAGTTGATACCTCTTGACTTTAACACACATAGTTGTGAAATGCCAATGCCCTGCTTCCCATTCCTATAATTGCCTTTGTTGACAATAAATGCTGCTGACTACATTTGACGTTCAGCTCCTCTTTCAGTAAAACCAGATCTCCTGTTAAGGCAAACATCCCACTGAATATTCTTAGCACAGCCTTGTGATCAGCTTATTAACATGGCCCAATTCAGGACCGCAAAGGCATGTTGCAGACGGCTTGTGGGCAAGAACCTTGCAATTGGAGGCAGGCAGATTTATGATTTTGGACTGCTGAGGGAATTTTAAGAATCATAACCCCCCAAAACACCAAGTCCCCACACTTCAACTTGCAATATACTGGAGGAAAGCCATGTCGTCCTTGTATACAATCCCAAAGCAAGTGGAGAAGGAAGGGGTGTGTGTGATACATCTATTAGACCACCACCCCCCAAAAAATGCAAAAAACCCCAGTAGTTTTCATTCCATACACCTGCAAGCATGAGGGCCAACTGAGGTCACCTTCTTCCTCCAACCGCTAGGTCATGTTCTTAATTTGGTTGTTATTAGCTTACCTAGTGGGTAAACTGTATTTTTTCCTGACTTCTCTGATAGGTTTGCTACGTTTTGATGTTGCCGAAGAGAAGGAACTTTTGTTTCAACGTAAGGCAAAGAGGGTGGGGAATGCAGAGTGGCTGGCAGTCTTATTTCTAACAATTAATTTAAGCCCAGCACTCCTGGCTTAATGTTGCAGCCTTCCCTTTTGAATCTGGCATAGACTTCTACCCATGATTTTTCGAAAATCTTTAATTTTTACTGCACCATCCACAGACAAGATGGATGAAGGCCTGTATGGTCCAAAAGCTAGCATTTGTTTGTGGTTTCATTGGTGCTCTAATAGATGTATCACACTCACACCTTTGCCTTTGACTTTTCCACTTGCAATATGTTGTCATTAACTACCCTTAGTGTGCATGTAAAAATCACAAATATGCCAGGATATCTAATTTAATCTTTGAAGTGTGGAAGGGTATGAAAAACCTTTCATCAGTTTGCCATTTTACTACTGTTGTACACATCCAAAACACAGTTCTCTTTATTTTCCTCGTCTACTTTCTGTAATGCATCACAACATGTTATATTTGCTTATTTCTAGAGAAATATTTATGAAGAAGCTAAATGGCTTTTGTTATTATAGATGGGTAAAGGGAGGTCCCATCTATTTCAGGAAACCCCTAGGTGGACACAAAATGTCTCTCTGCATCTTCCATCGCCACTGGATCTCTTTTGTAGACAACTGGGACATTGTCAGAGTGAAATATAGTTTTGCACCCACTACAACAGTGCACCTTGCTATTGATTCCATCTTCTGAGTATCAGTTGTAATAATTCATTTACATGGAAGAAGGTTAAGGGATATATTTAGAGGCACAGGCTGGCAGCAGAGTCGTCGTTCAAGTTGGTCAATATAAGTGGGCATATCTGCAGTACAGATTCTATTGAGTTAGCTTGCCATTTCCCCTCCTTGGGGGGCTCGGAGGACTGTTCTTCTGTGGCAAAAGCTAGCAATAGCTTGTGCAGAGGATTCCAAAGTGTGCACATTTGTATCAGTGAATGAGCACCAGAACTACATCTCTGGGGCCCTCTCCAGCTGCCACTCATTGGGGGTCCTATCTCTGGGTGCTGGGAGCCCTTGTGTGTTGCCGTGTGAAGGAGCCTGCATAGCTGAAGCTGCTAAGGTACTATGATAAAGGGCAGGCACAGCCCCAGTCACCTCGACTGTGTGCACGCATACAAGCACATCCATATGTCCACATATATAATGTATGTAGTTTGGGACAATTTGCCCAACTGATCTAAGCTCAGGGCTGGCCCTGCCATTTTAGGCAAAGCGAGGCAACCACTTCAAGCAATGGTGGGGGGGGCAATGGTGTCAGTCCCTCAGCTGTTTCTCATCAGCCTCCTGGCTATTCACATCTGTTTGTAAGAGAGAGGGATATGAGCCACATAAGCCTGTTCTCCTGGGATCCCATCATCATCATCATCATATCATGTGCCTTCAAGTCAATTCTGACTTATGGTGACTTTTTTCAGGATTTTCAAGGTACAGAAGTGTTTTACCATTCCTTTCTTCTTGAGGTGCCCTGGGGCTGTGCAGCTTGCCTAGCCTGGCTTTTCTCCCAGGAGGCACACTGGGGAATCAAACTTCTAACCTCTGGTTCCACAGCTAGATGCCTAAACCACTGAGCTATCCAAATCTACCTGTTCTCTCAAGCTCAATGGAGGATACTATTCTGTCAATGGCACTGAGGGTGCAGCTGTCAGTCCAATTGATTCTGAATGTAGAGAACCCTTCATTTTGTCCTCTGGTTTTCAGGCAGCAGAATGCCTTGGTCTGGCCATAGCTAACTTGGTTTTTCAGTAGTAAAGGGCTTGTAATTCAACGTACTTAGAGCCCAGCCTTCTATAATTTTTTATTCTTCCATCAGCCAAGCAACTGAAATTTTTCCATTTCCCCCACTAGATGGTGTGGTTGGAACTGGGCAGATGTGACCCCAGCTATGGATCTCATACGCCAACTTCCATTCCACAGACAAGAATATTTAAAGGCGGACACAAGAATAACTGAGTAATCTCACGAAGTTACAAACAGAGCATATGGTGGAAGAATTAGGTTTGGTGACCTGCTGTAAGAAAACCTGGATTCTTAACACCCTGTGAATGACTTTACTTGCCAACTAAAATAAGAATACTCTGTCTGCATGTGACATTGTCTGCAGTGCTGTGATTTTAATACCAAACAGTGGTGTCAATTCTGAATCAAGACCTCAGCCCCTCTTCTCAGAAAACCTCTCCTTCCCCTTCTTCCTATTTGCCATCATCTCTTGGAGGTATGTTGGCATCATAAAAAGGAGGACAGGTCTTTTCTACCTTTAATAGCTGTATGGGAAAGAAAACTGAAGCATACAGTGGTGACTCGCTTAGTGATTGCCTCGTTTAACGATGTATTTGCTTAGCGATGAGGTTTTAGGAGTGATCTTGCGCTCCGTTTAGCAATGTTTCCAATGGGGGGATTTGCATAGCGATGTTCGGGACCTTGCTTTGCTTAGCGATGACAGTTTAGGTCCCCGTTTCGCTTAGCGATGTTTTGGACAGCTCCGTTTTCGCTATTTTTAAAAGGTGTTAAATTGTTTAAAAAGGGTTTAGAGTGCTTGAAATCGTTAGTACACTTAATAAACCCTTTGTTAACCAACTATGTCTTTGTTCTGACTCTTTTTGAATTTTTGGTGATTTTTTTTCTCCCCCATTGAAATGCATTGAAAAGGTTTCAATGCATTCCAATGGGGGAACCGCGTTTCGCTTAGCGATGTTTCCTATGGCGATTTTCGCTTAAGAACAGCAATCTGTTCCCATTGGAACAGATTATCCGGTTTTCAATGCATCTCTATGGGAAAATGCGTTTCGCTTAGCGATGTTTTCCCATAGCGATGTTTTCCCATAGCGATGAATTTTTTGGAACCAATTAAAATCGTTAAGCGAGGCACCACTGTATGTAGTTTGAACGACAACCTGCTCCTGCAGAAATGTCTTCTATGCATCTATTAGAGATGCTGGAATCCTGCCCTCCATTTCATATGAACTCAACCTGTAGGCTTCCTACTCCCTACAGTCCCTCCTACTTCCCTATAGCACAGTGGTCCCCAACCTTGGGCCTCCAGATGTTCTTGGACTACAACTCCCGAAACCTTCACCACCACCTCAGCTGGCCAGGATTTCTGGGAGTTGAAGTCCAAGAACATCTGGAGGCCCAAGGTTGGGAACCACTGCTATAGCAAGTGCAGTTTTAGGAACTATCAAGTACTGTATTGAGCTCTGTCAGTTGTGACTTTTTAGTTTCACTGACCATACCAAGGCTAGGCAATCATACCAAGTGTAGTATTGCCAGAATTTGGCAGGTGAGGAAATCAAATCCTCCCTCATTTGTGGCTAAATATACTCTTTCCTTCTCTTCAACTTACCACACAGATTTGGGAATGAGGGGAGGACAAAATGTAACAAGTGGGTGAGATGTAATTAATGTATCACAAGGATCAGTGAGAACAATAGGAGTAAGGGATGGTTTTATGTATATATATGATCTAGCTGGCTAGGATGTCAATTATATTTAACACTTATCAACTACTTCTGAAAAATAAAGCTGCCCTGCTACTGAAAAAGATATCCCAGATGATCCTCAATGAGGAATAATTGTAGAGCTTTTGAAAATAATTTCCCCATGAACTCTGGCAAATCAGGAGCTAGCTGTGTAATATTGTGAATCAATTTTGGCGGCGGCAGCAATAACAAAATAGGGCTGCTCACGATTCCTTTTCAAAGCTATTCTGCAAATTTGGCCTAATTTTAGCTATTATGAAAAATGGAATGACTAAACCTCTTTGCAAATTAGTTCTAAAATTCTGCCTTCAACTATCCCGCTGATTTCCAGATGAGCTGGTATAAGAGACTGTCATAGAGACATCACCTCCATTAACAGAACATAATCTGGTTTACCATTCTTTCTCATAAAGTGGAGATATATATGACTAGAACTTATACCTCAGAGATCCTGAGGCAGAGGTGAGCACCTGGCAGCTGTAGCCCTTCAGACTTCTTTGGTCTAACAATGCCAGCAGTCCTAACAAGTAATAAGTGATGGAGCTATGGGAAGAGAAGAAAACCCCCAGGGCCACAAGTGGCCTGAAGAACTTCGGTACTGGGAAAGGTGAAACCTTGCTAGGTGGCAGGAAACCTGGTTAGGCACATACCTCCATACTACTCTGTACATTATCGTTTTCTAGGCTCAGCAGGGCTAGGCTTGGTTAGTACTCAGATGGGAGAACATAGGCAATATCAGGCATCCCCAGCTAAGGTAGGGAAATAATCCCACCTGAAAAATCTGGAGTCACAAGAGTTGACAATGCTGAGCTAGATAGACAAATTGTCTCTCAGTAGACTTTCTTGTGTTTCCTAGGTCCAGACACAGAATTAATTTCAATACAGATGTGCCAGCACCAACTTGATAGATTTCTTTGCAACAGCCAAAAGAAACTGTAATCTTTGTTTCAAGACCTCATGATGGCGAACTACTGTGAAGAAATCTCCACCAAGAATCTCTTATATACACTGGTGAATATTAAGTATCATTCTGAATAGCTTCTGTTATGTTCAACAGAATACAGTGGTGCCTCGCTTGACGAGGATAATTCATTCCGTTCAAATCGCTGTTAAGCGAAACCCTCATCAAGCAAAATTTAAAAACCCATTGAAATCCGGTTCAATGCATTCCAATAGGCAAAATACCTGCTCGTTTTGCAAAGATCCTCCATAGGGTGGCCATTTTCTGGTGCCTGTAAAGCGAGGAATCTATCCTAAAGCACAGCGCAGAGCCATTTTGCACAGTGGGCAGCCATTTTAGAGCCACTGATCAGCTGTTTTAAAAGTCGTCTAGCGAAAAATCGGTTCCCGAAGCAGGGAACCAATCATCGTTAAGCGATTTTTCCCCATAGGAACATCATTTTGCGATCGCAATAGCAGTCGCAAAAACTTCATTGTAAAGCGGTTTCATCGTTTAACGAGGTAATCGTTAAGCGAGGCACCACTGTAAATAAGTTACGAACCAACTTGAATTGGTAAGCCTCCCAGATATATTCATCCCCCCGTCAATTGTATAGGGTGGAAACAAAATTATTTCCATGAAAGCACCATTCTGCTGGAAGAAACTTGGCCTCTCATCCCTTTAGCTGAACAGGCCAGCTTATGACATAATATGTGTGAAGTGAACATATCTTAATAGGCCTGCTCTTTCCTTTAATATTAGTAGCTGCTGTGTGTGGGGTGGGGGTGGGGTGCTAGGGTTTAGAAATTAGGGGCAACCCTCCCATGCACATGTGACAGTCCTACTGAAATTCCACCCCAATCCTAAGGGGATACTGAGAGAGGAGGTCACATTGATACCATCATTAACAGATTGTACATGCATGTATGTAGACTTTTGTGTCATGTCTGCTTAAGTTCTGAAGGTGACACAGTCCTTTTCTTTGCCACCTTGGCATGATGAACCTTTTAATAAAGAGACCAAACAAAAGCCCTTGACATTTCATCCACTTTAAGATCAAACAATAAGAACAGATCAGAGGCTTGCAATAATGTATTTTCCCCAGGAGCAATCACATGTGATAAAAAGAGTTGTGAGAAATTAAGATTTTCTTCTGCTGAAACACTGTTACAAGCAGGCTATACAAAGGCTCCACAAGACTTCAAGACTCCTACATGGAGTGAACCTCCTACCCACATCCATTCATGCTTCCTAAATGCACCCCATCCCTCCTTGAGCAAATGGCAAATGTGCTCAGTTTAGCAAGAGCGAAGTCAGCATTAGGAGTACTGAAGAAACCAAGTCTATATACTGTTTCTCCAGATGTCAGCAAGCAAGATGAACTCTACTGGGCTTTGAATGAATGACATTTATAAGCAATTTCTATATAGACATAACTATAAAAATTTTAGCAAAGGAAAACAAAAGTTGTCTATTCCTAAAAAACCACCCTAGCAATTTATTGTCAAAGAGTTATTTCATTATGCTTAAGTGCACCGGCTCATTATAAGATGATAAACTCTTGAATTATAGCAATGAAAGACAATGTATGCAGATAATCAAATTAATTGAAAGCCAACTAACCTGCATAATAGGAACCTAGCATTACCACAGCTAGCAGGTGATTGTGACATGACTTGCCAATAATTCCCCTCTGTATGAGGGCTGAACTTCTCAAGACATATTTTAAGCCACTGTACTGGGTGCATCCCTCTTCTTGTACCTTTCAGTTTCATGCAGAAGTGCTAGTTATGCTGACAATGCAAGGCAGTCAGACAATCAGCTAGTTATGTGGATAGTGACTTCACACGAAAAGAGGAAGGCTGTATCCAGATCATTGGTATAGTTTGCACCATAGCTAACGGCTATATGAGAATCCCAGAAAACTGTACCATGAACAATCACACAAAATTGGGCTGTCATGAAATTATAAGGAGAACATCCACATGTTGTTCTGCAAGCTGAATTCGAGAAAGACAGTCATTTTCGAGTTCCTCTAATTTTGACCCACTGTGTGCAGGGAGGCAAGAAAGAATGAACACACAGTTAGTTCTCTCGCTATCAAGTTTGGGAAATCAGTAAGGGTCTGATCTATATATATCGTAAACTGAGTGGAATGCAACATTTCAGACAGTAGGAAGGAAACGCAGTTATTGAACAGTTTCTTTTGTTACATGAGGGCTGGGGAACTGGGACCCTTCAAGTATTGTTAGATTCAATTCCAATCAGTCTCCACAAATCACAAGTGATATGGGAATCAAAGTCCAATAACATTCAGAGCAGAGATGCCCATCCCTGGCTTACACACATAACCACATGCATAGTCTTTCTCCATACACCCACAGATATTCCAGCACCTTTGGGAGGAAGAACTCTACCCCCATTTCTAGCTATGTGTCTGTTTCCAGGTGTTTCACATGGGAGCACACCAACAACTGCTTGCTTTTGTGACTCAAGGCATCTCGCACATACAACTGCAGGCTTTCATGGGACAACTTTGTAAGAGAATGCCAGTATTAACATCCTGAATGGCTGGTGGGATGGCACGGGCTTCCCTAGCACCCCTGACTAAGCTCAATGGACTAAGATGTGTGATCTGAGCACTTTTGGATTAAAAAGTCATCTATTAGCTCAAAAGAAAAAATGTGGAAAGCAATGGCAATTACACGAGTCAATATAGGATGGGATATGGCAATTAACATCAGAACATGCACCAGAACAATGTATCGTAAGCATAAAAGCAATATTCAGCACTGATATAATCTCAGACTTGACTGCACAGTCCATAAAATACTATGATTGAACAAGAAATCAAAACACAAACCATAGCCCGTAAAAGCAATTACAATGCAAGTCTAGATGCTTTTTCCTTGTTACAGCAAAATTTCAAAATACACATAAGTTATGATATATAAAACAATTTGGGTTAAAACTTTGCAGATTTAATCCTGCCAATTTACCATCAAGTTCTTTTAACACTTCATCTTGACAATCAAATTCTTTGCAGCATATTCATTAACAATGCAGTAGAGAGGTGAAGGCTTACATTAAAGATCACAAATGACATTTTAAAAATCTTCCAACTTGTCTATGAAAAAGACTTCACTCTTAGCTGATGGACTTTCACCCTGAAAAATAAATCAAACATAGCAGTAAATTAAAGTTAATGTTTTTATGATATGTAGCATACACCTAGTATGGGGAACTCTGAAATATATGACATCTATTAGCTATTGCTCATGCTGAGGGTGAGGAAATAGTAGGAGTGAAGAGGAGTTTAAAGAGCTTATACCTCAAGTTGTGATACAAGTTGACAGGCCTTTGCTCAGCTTAAAACATGGCTTTTTAAAAATCTACAGGGCTTGAAAAAATTTAGAATGTCTCTTACGTCAGTCAAAAATTTCACCAGTCAGCATGACCGGACTATAGCCTTGCAATTTATGTTTAAACTTAAATTTAAATTTAAACTAGGCACTTTCCACACAACAATGCATATAGACCCAAAATAAATATACCCTCAAATTTGGGTTGCTTTATTACCTGTGTGCCTGTGGGGGTCATGAAGCTTGTATTTTGAATGCCTTTCTTTTGAATGTCTCCAGCAAAAATAAAACTGAAAGCAAAAGCGCCCGGCTTCTTAAGGAGCCAGGTTGTTCGGTTGAAATTGGGAGCAGGGAATCTCCAAATTCTCCAGCATGGGACTACTCTACATTCTCCTTAGGATATATATTTATGTGCCGCTAGAACTCTCTTCTCAAGAGAAGAGGGCTGTTTTTCCTTTTGCAATGGGAAAGGGGAGGGGAGGACTGCAGGATCAGAGACAGATGGACTGAGGGTAAGGAGGGAGGGAGCTGTGGCTCCTCAAGCAGCATTTTTTCACTAGTTACCGATGAGTGGATTTTTCAAGCTCTGAAAATCTAGTTATTGACCAGAAGTCTTCACACCATTGTCCAAAGCCCTCCCACAAACATACACATCATCAAAACCTAGTTGAGCTGATAATGTACAAATATATGCCTTTCTGCAAGCAGCAAACTCTTGGTTGTTGTTGTTGTTGTTGTTGTTGTTTGTTTGTTTGTTTGATTGATTGATTGATTGATTGATTGATTTATATCCCGCTCATCTGGTCAGATTGACCACTCTGAGCGGCTTCCATAAAAAATATACAATAAAGCATAAAAATTATTACAAGTAAACAACACCACATATAATAAAACAAATAGCTAGAAAGAGAAAGGAAATTAAGTATTGACAGGAGGGAAGGCCTGAACATATAACCATGTTTTTAGCTGGTTCTTAAATGTGCCCAGCGTAGGGGCTGCACGAATCGCTGGAGGAAGGTTGTTCCAGAGGTGAGGAGCCACGGCCGAGAAGGCCCGATTTCGTGTTCGCTCCTTCCGGGCCTCCCTCAGCGTTAGGCTCTCCAGCCTCACCTCCTGGCTCGTGCGGGGGATCCGGGTAGATCTAGGTGGGAGCAGGCCTTCCGCCAAATATCGAGGTCCTAAACCGTTTAGCGCCTTGTATGTAAGCATTAACACTTTGAAGTCGACGCGGAAACGAATGGGCAGCCAATGCAGCATGGCCAGAATAGGAGAGATGTGTTGGGATTTCCTCACGCCTGTAAGGAGCCTGGCTGCCTCATTCTGCACCATCTGAAGTTTCCGTGTCAGCCTCAAAGGCAGCCCCACGTAGAGCGCATTACAGTGATCTAATCTTGAGATTACGAGCGCATGCACCAAGGTAGTGAGCGCCCCCGTGTCAACCAAAATCTTTTGGTTGAGAAAAGATTTTTAGATCCAGCCCTTCTGACTGATGCATCCGAACACAAGTGATAGTTAACACACAAGCACAAGATCTTAAAACAATGGCCTTAAATGCATAAGTAAAAGGGCTTGTGCATACCAAGATCTTTTTGCTGAATGCATAAACAGATTTCCCTGAGTAACTTCTGGGCTGTTTCATAACTTAGTTATACCTTTTCACACTGTGACACACAGTCCTCTTCCACCACAGAAATGCTTGTTTTTGCAATTTAGATAATTTCTTCCCCCGTTCTTCAGAGAGAAACTTCCCCTGCTGCTTAACAAAAATAGCACAATAAAATGATAATCCTTAAAGAAACCAGAATGACACCAGCAGCCAGATAAACTGCACCTGCTTTTAATGCTTTTTATTTTTTGTTTTGTATTGTATTTGTTGTAACCACCCAGAGTAGTGTCTTGGCACTAATGGGAGCAAGATATAAATTGAAGGATGGAAGGACAGTATAAACAAACAAACAAACAAACAGGATCTTTGAAAAGGTATGGGGAAAGAGAATGGTCTTCAGCAAGCCACGTACGTATCGGTCATATGCAATTTTTTTCCTGAGGAAAGTACTGCAAAGTTTGGGTCATATTATGGTTGACTGCCCAACTCAACTAGAATAAGGGAAGGGGTTGCAGAAGTGTTGCCAAAGCAGATATCAGTAGCTGAGTAAATTAATATGACATATCTTCAAATTATTTTAACTCAGAAAATGCCTCAATTTTTCTATGAACTGTAAAAGTACTTAATGACAGGAGAGTCCCTTACCTCCAAAAAGATTACTGTATTTTTCGCACCATAAGACACTTTCTCCCCACAAAACAGGGGGGTGGAAAGTCTTTGCGTCTTATGGAGCGAAGAAAACAGATTATATTTTCCTGTTTTCTTCTCCTAAAAAAATGGTGTCTTATGGAAAGGTGCATCTTATGGAGCGAAAAATACGGTATTTAAAATACTCCATACAATTGAAAAAGGAATGGCTACAAAAGTGTACACTAGAACAGTTTTTCCTTCACTGGCAGATGGAAAGGGACAGGCTAGGGCCCCTGTTGCCAGAAAGAGCTTTTATGGGAAGAAGGGCTACAGCCTCCCAGTGGCCCTCTCTCTCTTGGCCAGTGGCAGAGTGAGAGCATGCCTCTGCAGTCCCAGAATAACACTTAGGCTTGACAAGTTAATACCAGCACTTCTGTTTAGCCTGAAAATGATTTGATCAACTGGCAGAAAAGGCTGGAATGCCCTGCAAAAAATTGTATTATGCCAAGCTGCAATCCAAGCAGGGTCTCCTATTTGCTACACCTGATCAAAGCCCATGACAAGCTCAAGGACATACCAGAAGATGTTCAGCCAAGATACGCACCAGAGGAAAAACCTGAGCCAGACATTCTTGATCAGGCTTGCCTATCTAAAGAGCTACGTATTACAAGGATAAAAGAGAACAGCCATTATGCATGTTTCTCATTGTTCTGGTGATTTTATACAGCTAAATCTTTGTCTAGCTATAAAATCACCAAATACTGTAGTTCTGCTAACAAGCTGAACTACAATATTCTAAGACACTTTTTCTCCTTCTATCATTTATATTTAAATATAAGCACCAAGCTAGTTTTTTAAAAAAGCAGGCCTGGTATTTATCTGCCCAACTATCATTTCAGCTAGTCACTGTCCACATGTCCCTGCCCACACCCTTAGTCCTAGCAAAATTAAGAATGCTGTAAATTGATACTTACAGGAACTGTGAGTGTTTGCATCAGCCTTCACAACTTTGGTAACCTTGGCTGTGTTCTGCTGGGGCTTGCTTTGTTCTTCTCCACTAAGCAGGGCTTTAATTTCAGAGGGGATTTTTCCTTGGTCCATTGCCATGCACCACTGTTTATACTGAAACACACACGACAAAAAAGTAAAACACCTGGAATAGATTGTAACTAGAGATGGGGGTGTTGGTATACAAATATTCCCGCACAGCTGAAGTTAATGAGGGTCCGGCTGACCATCCACTCACACGTCCACTGCCACCTCTGGCCCCGCTCATCCTTCCAATCAGTCCCGAGCACAGTTCTCTTCCCGGTCATCTAGCCACTCCTGGCAAAGGGAGGGAGGATGAGTCTCCTTGAAAGACTGCCAAGTGGCTAGCCCAGCGGTGCTCCAGAACGATTGAAAGGAAGAGATGGGCCGCCACCGGGCATGTGAGTGGACAGTCCATGCCCAGGGGCCAGCCCCTCGTTAACTCCAGCTGCACCGGGATATTCATGTAGGAATACAAATACCTCCATCTCTAATTGTAACCCTCATGTCTGAGGAGGTAAAGGTCTTCAGGCAGACTGATATCTCTGCTCTTGGACATCTATTCCAAGCAGGAGCTGTCTGAGGCATGGAGGTACAAGTTGACTATGGGAGCAAAACAGCACGTGCACACAAACATGAACTCAAAAGTGCCTTATTGAATAATAGGCCTGGGTTGCCCAAGATATTGTTATGGAGCAGGTGACGCTTCCCCCAACGCTCAAACCTAGCCTTAAAGGATGTTTCTGTGCCTTTCAAAGCTGATTGCTTGTGAAAGATCTCACAGAAAGATCTCTGTAGTTTTGTTAGGGCTGAAGCTACCCCTGCTAAACAGTGGCTTCTTGTCGAACCACTCCATTCAAGGGAGTAATTTCCCAAATGTGTGGCCACTACTGCATCTTTGAGGGCCTTTATGCCCCAAAAGATTACTGAACTTTCACAGCTGTGTTTTTAAAAGGTGTCTCGGTGCAAAAGGTTGCCTTCCCCCTCCCCCTTCTATTGCAAGAAGCCTACTTTAGGGTTCAGTCTCATCTCCTGCATGTTAATGCAAAAGTCAGCTCCCTGCAATTCATGGAGTTTACACAGGACCTTAGGTAGCATTCACTGACACACCACAGAAAATTCAGATGGGGTTGGTGGTATAAGCAAAGGAATCCTGCTGTTCCATCATCTATTAATATCCAAGACAGGAGAGGGAGAGCACAACCAAGCATTTACGAAGTGGTAACTAGACAATCTGTATGTAACCACCTGTAAGTTGACTGCCTTCCATGCATACACATGAACACTTCACCAAGCATTTTACCACACATGGGCTGACAAAACCCTCTGCTGCTCCTTCCTATGACAAAGCAAGCAACCCGTTATGCTTCAGTGAGAATGTTTGCCCCGGGAGCTGTTTGGGTACCCCTTACAGTGCCTTCAGTTATCTTCCTAGGTAGAGAGAAGAACGGCATGCAGTCAAGTAGCCCAGCTGTTGGCCATAGCTGCATGAACTTGCATAGGTTTCCCATTCCTTGAGTTAAAGGTTCTAATCAAAACAAACAGGTATCAAGACAACATCAGTGCAATATAAAAATAAAGATTTTGAAAGAAAGAAGATTACCATTTCCAACTCTTCTCTAAGAGCACAGATTGCTCTCTCTCTGCTTGAAACCAGTTCTTCCAGATATTGGTACCGTAACTTCTTCCTGGCCCTACATTCCCTGGCACTCTGCCGGCTCCTCTCAAGTTTGGCTTTCAAATCTATCTTCGCTGGTTTACGGCCCCGTTTCCCTGGCTTCTTCACTTTGCCTCCAGCCACCTAGAGAAATCACAGTTAAGTTTCACATCAGTGAAGAGAGGAGAAGCAAGACTTCCATGGAAAGTCTGGTATGAACTTTACCCCAAGTCTTAAAGTAGCAATCAGAACTGAGATTGAGAGAGACACCAACCACAAATCTGTCTAGTGGTAACTTCCTTCCAAGCATGTACTATTTCATACTTTAGGGAGATTTTGACAAACGCTTCTGCTATTACTGTCCGATACTCAAAGAGTAAAGTCCCTTGCACCATAACTGGTATCCTTATTACTAGAAACCAGGAGTGCTTGAGCCTAAATTTGTGTCACCACAAAGGCCACAAGGAACCTGGAAATTATTGTTTTCACCCTTTTTTAAAAACATGTGTAAACAGAAGGTATGTATGGACACTTCTGGATTTGTTTTTCATTTTCTCTGGGAGGCATTAGGGGACCTCCTCCCAACCAGGCTTAGTGAATGAAAACCATTATCCCTGAAGATCTACAGAAGCCTCTATTATATAGAATCATAATTCCAGTAAATTGCATGAAGCTTCCGCACTTCAGGATTGATTTAGGGTGCCCAGAATAACAATAGGTCTGCTCTTGTTGTTTAATCGTTAAGTCATGTCTGACTCTTTGTGACCCCATAGACCAGAGCACGCCAGGCCCTCCTGTCTTCCGCTGCCTCCCAGAGTTGGGCCACATTCATGCTGGTACTTTCGATGACACTGTCCAACCATCTCATACTCTGTCATCCCCTTCTCCTCTTGCCTTCACTCTTTCCCAACATCAGCGTCTTTTCCTGGGGGTCTTATCTTCTCTCAAGATGGTCAAAGTATTGGAGTCGCAGCTTCAGGATCTGTCCTTCCAGTGAGCACTCAGGGTTGATTTCTTTCAACCTGGATAGGTTTGTTCTGTTTGCAGTACAGGGGACTCTCAAGAGGCTCCTCCAGCAGGAGGGAAGTGATGACAAACCTAGGCAGCATCTTAAAAAGCAGAGAAATCCCCTTGCCGACAAAGGTCTGCATAGTCAAAGCTGTGGTTTTTCCACTAGCGATGTATGGATGTAAGCGCTGGACCACAAAGAAGGCTGTGAGCGAAGGAAGGAAAGTGAGCCGTCCTCACAGGCGTCAAAAGAAGAAGGAGGCGGAGAATGTGCTGTGGGAGAATTAATAAAGCTAGATGATGAAGAAGGGGGCGCTAATAAAGCTATAGAGGTGTTCCTAGCGGAAAGGACGAGAGACTGGGGGGAGGAGTCGGGAGATTGGAGATGGGATGAGGTTATAAAAGGGGAGGCATGAATGTGGCCCAACTCCGGGAGGCAGCGGAAGACAGGAGGGCCTGGCGTGCTCTGGTCGTCCATGGGGTCACGAAGACATGGACAGGACTTAACAACTAAACAACAACAACAAATATGTCAAGCTACATTCTGTCTCCTTATGTTCCCTTAGGCTAACTTTACATAATCAAGTTTCACATTTCTTTTGAGATCAACCTCTTTGGTTCTACTAATATTCACATTCTAGCATTCGCCTAGTACTCTTTCAACTGTTCGATCCATTGCTCATACATACTTTTGGTAATCCTTATTTTTTTTAAAAAAAAAAAACCCTATAAAAACAGTCAGACTGATCCCTCACATTCCCAATGGAAGACTGGGAAGGAGACTAAGACAACACTGGCCACCCAGCAAATTCAGGACAGAAGCGATATTGCAGCCAGGGAACCCAGCCACTCACTCCGTCCCCCGTTTACAATGCTTCTCTTAGTTTGCAATACTCACTTTCATCTCACCAAGTCTCACCGATGTCATCATAAGCTGTATTGTCAAGTACGAATATATAAGACTGTCATACAAGCCAATACACTACTCAACTTCGTATTCACGTTCCTTAAGGGTTTAATCCGCTTTTAAATAATAACAAACCAACTAGCTGGCAGCGCAATAAAGCAAGGGTGGGCTAACTGCAGCCCTCCGGATGTTGCTAGGCTCGCCCACTCACCCACCCCATTCAGCAGTCCTAGCCATCATGATCAACCCGGGGGAAGGATGATGGGAGTTACAGAACGAAAAACACCTGGAGGACCCATCGGCTGCCCACCTGAGCGATAAAGCCTTTTTGTTGCTCCAAGCACCGTTCACTTACTTTGCTCTCGTCCATGTGCGCCCCTGAAGCAAGCGGTAATGTTGCGCCAAATAATCTTTGCCGCAGCCCCCGCGGTTCCCCCTAGACCAGGACTGGGCCGCCGTACCACCCCTTCCCTGCCTCCTCCATTACACGCCGCTCGCTACTTCCTTGTTTTGAACACTTTGCATTGAGCTGCGTACCACTCAAAGGGAGGTGAGACGGAAAAGCCCGATGCATGCCGGGAATGGTAGTTCTGCGCCGCTCGTTGTAAGAAAACGGAGATTTTTGTGCGCCAGCGTCACAACTGCCGGAACGGGGACCAAGCTTTCTAAAATGACGCAGACGTTTTGCTCCGAGAAATCATAGAGAGGACGAAGGAGGCCAGAGCGACCCCATATAGAGGCTTATACTGTACCTTGATTTCAGAGGGATACGTCACGAGCGTGATCGACATGCTTATAGCAAGGTTTCTTATCATTGTGGACCATTAATTAATAGGATTATTCTGGGTATACAATGATATAGACCTTTTCAATCCCAGTTCTTTGGCAATGCCCGTTTTTACTGTTTCCCAGTCCCCTCACTCTCCAGCGATAATATGCATTTAAATAAACCTGGTCGTTGTTCAACAAACTGGAAGCCTCATATGGGTACTTCTGGAGTTTTATTTGCAGCCTTGCATGCTGTCAGTAGTTTGTGTGACTGGGCGGGGAGTGTGGATTGTCCGTCCAACACTAACCAATACTGTAGTTCCTTCCAGCTTTTGATTTCAAAGAGAGCCCGGTCTCTCTGCTAAGTGTCCCATGGTTTGGTGCCATTTGTTTGTTTGCTGTTGATGGTTGGGTGCTGAGTGCAGTAAAGAAAGTAGCATGCAGAAGTCTAATTTCAAGAAATTATTCAATAAATGTCTCAGAGGGGGTTATTGAAACTTTAAGTACCAGTTAATGTGAATGGGGTTAGATTATATTAGGCATCCTTCAGTCTCAAGAGACTATGGTATCATGCTCTGTATGGAGGACTTGGAACAGCGTCTAGTGTGGCTGAGGCCAATTCGAGAGTGACAATCCCTTCCACACTGGAGATGAATACAATCTGTCCCCTGTCGAGCTCCCTGATTTTGCTGCTTTTGGGACTGCCTCTTTGCCTCGGCCTGCTGGAGGCAGCACAGTATTCTTCTCTATGGATCTCCTGCCTCTTTGCCTCGGCCTGCTGGAGGCAGTACAGTATTCTTCTCTATGGATCTCTGTACTTCTACTGTGTAGCAAAAACAGAATTTTCCCAGAAATTCAAAACTGCAACAGGTATTTTGTTATTGTATTGTTCTAGTTTTCCTTCCTGGCAGGATATAGTGAAAGAAGGAGACTAGACTATACACACTTTCTTAGCAGCCCCAGATTTTATTTCAACAACATTTAGTTCTAAATAGCCACTATGTAAATAGCAGAGAAGTTGAAATGAAATGTAGTCTACATGCTAGATGGCCCAGTTTCAGCCAATTAACAGTGTTACCGTACCTAATAGTTGGAGGAAGATGCCCTCTTCAGTTCACGGTCCTTCTTGGGTGATGTTAAATGTACATGTTTGCTTGAAGATGGTGCCTTGGTTCAGTATACTGTATATTTTGTAGTCCATCAAAACATAAAATGTTGTACACAATCTGAAGGCAAGTCAGCAGGCACACAGGTCACCTGGTCACATACTCTCCCACTTGTGTTATGAAAATATATTGCAATTATATTAAATTATAAGAATTCATTATCATTTTTACTTTGTATAAATTAACCTATAAAATATAATGCAAATTGATGTTTTCTTATAGCCGGAAGAAATATCAACAACCTCCGATATGCAGATGATACCACTTTGATGGCAGAAAGTGAGGAGGAATTAAAGAACCTCTTAATGAGGGTGAAAGAGGAGTGTGCAAAAAATGGTCTGAAGCTCAACATAAAAAAAACTAAGATCATGGCCATTGGTCCCATCACCTCCTGGCAAATAGAAGGGGAAGATATGGAGGCAGTGACAGATTTTGCTTTCTTGGGCTCCATGATCACTGCAGATGGTGAAAGCAGCCACGAAATTAAAAGACACCTGCTTCTTGGGAGGAAAGTGATGTCAAACCTAGGCAGCATCTTAAAAAGCAGAGACATCACCTTGCCGACAAATGTCTGCATAGTCAAAGCTATGTTTTTTCCACTAGCGATGTATGGAAGTGAGAGCTGGACCATAAAGAAGACTGACTGCCGAAGAATTGATGCTTTTGAATTATGGTGCTGGAGGAGACTCTTGAGAGTCCCCTGTACTACGAACAGAACAAACCTATCCATTTTGAAAGAAATCAACCCTGAGTGCTCACTGGAAGGACAGATCCTGAAGCTCAGGCTCCAATACTTTGGCCATCTCATGAGAAGGGAAGACCCCCTGGAAAAGACCCTGATGTTGGGAAAGAGTGAAGGCAAGAGGAGAAGGGGACGACAGAGGACGAGATGGATGGACAATGTCACTGAAGCTACCAGCATGAATTTGACCCAACTCCGGGAGGCAGTGGAAGACAGGAGGGCCTGGCGTGCTCTGGTCCATGGGGTCACGAAGAGTCAGATATGACTTAATGACTAAGCAACAACAAAAATCACCTTTTTTGTTGATATGTGAGTGGCCATCACAATGGATAGGGTGCCATACTTTGGCCACCCACCCACCCCACTGTCCAAAGAGGGGAAAACTGTGTTTTATCATTTGTATTTATGTATTTAATTGCCCAGGAACACTTCTAGATGGAGGGTTCTGTGCACTGTTACTCAAAGGAACGTCTGCCTTTCCTTTGTTAAGTTATTTTGTAGGGAAAAAAGACCAGTGGGATAACTCTGAAGGGTTACAAGTGAAACTGTAGATCCCTGTGAAAATTTCACTGAACAAGGCAAGACAATTATGCAACTTTTTGTTTTATTTATATGCCACCTTTGTGATAGCTAGTGCCTCCAGTTCTGAGAATGCTGTGAATTCATTTTTGCTTATGGGTTGTACTTTACTGGAGTTATTCAGGGTGTTGAACATATTTTGGAGATAGGTCAGCATCGTGGATAACTCCTGTGGGATGCAAACTAAAACCCGGCATTAACTCATCGTGCCTCTGAAATAGAGAGCACTACTGTCTGGGACCACCCTAGTACATGCACAACTTGCTGGAGATAATCAGAAACTACTCTGAATTGTCTACCCAGGACCTTCTCAAGAAGGGAAGTGGACAGACATCAGGCTTGCTGCATCTGCATTTTTCAACTGGAACTTCATGGTCATGAACCAGAGACAGGTGCAAACATGCCCTTAGAGATAAAGGCCAGGAAGTCTTTAAGCTTTAAGTATATTCTTAGCCAAGGAATTTGTTTTCAGTTAACAGAAGAGAACAGAAATGACCTTGTAGTCTCCTTTTCTTTCTTTTTTTTCTGACAAAAGTCCTGATTGTATCAAGATTCATTTCAAAAGAACCATCAACTCAGATAATTAATGTCGGATGGTTCACTATTACACCACCAGAAATTATAGTTTTGATTGTAAAAAGTTTAAGATGAAGAAACCCTTGCTAATTTACTGCTGATGATCCAGAGATCTATCAATAGATACCAATATGTCTTCTCCCTGCCCTTGCCTTGCATCTAAGTATGATACTTGTGCAGTTAAAGGAAGACACTGCAATTTGAGAGGGAGGGAGAGTTGTTCATGTCTGTGTGACATTGCCTTTAGAACTATCTGCTGAATTCAGATAGAGAGACTATGTTTTTTGTAACTAGTTATTTCCCTTTACAACTAGTTACTCTAAGTAAGAATAGTGCTGTAGCAAGAATGGGTAAATCTACCCTTAGCCCTTCCTATAGTACTAGTAATCAAGGGAATCAAATAAACCTTTTTTCTCTCTCAGACTGAAGGCAGGAATTAGTCACATGGAAATGCTGTCCAATGCATTAAAAATACTCTGCACACAGGTAACTAGCAGGAGAAGAAAAGGTCATTCTAAAATAACTTTTTATGGAAGAGCCTTCAGTCATGTGAGGCCACACCTACAATCTGAACTCAAAACATAAATGTTTGGAAACAGGTTCACTTCCATTATCTACAGTTTTTGAGAACCTAACTTAAGATGTAAGTAAAAATTCAAGCCAGTTCCACATTCTATGTACCATGCCTATTTATGGTAAACAAAAATAGTGTTTGTTTGTTGAATTTATATACCGCCCATCTGGCCAAGGGCCACTGTGGGCAGTTTATAACACAAAATAACAAAGTAACAATATCCAGAAATCAAACCACAAAGTGCTACACAACTATATAGAAGAAACAATATAACATCAAACAATTTAAAATAAATTAAATACTGTATACCAAGCATTTAGGAATGTTTACATTGGCAGTAAACAGTGGCAATCAGTTGTTAGCTTGGATGTCAACAAGCTCTGTAGGCGGCATAGTTTCAAAAGCCTGCCAAGAGACCAAGTTTGGGTCTCTTAAAGATCTCCAGCGAAGGGGCTGGACAGATGGTGAGTGGCAGTTTATTCCATAGGTGGCAACCGCTGAGAAGGCCTGATTTCTCCAGGCCTCTTTTGGGATCAGCACCTTCAGCTGCCCTGCCAGGATGAACAGGAAGTATGTTCAATATATACACTGAGAAACCAATCTATGCATAAAAGTAGGACAAAGTGCATCCTTTTTAATATGATATTAAATTAAATAAGAACATTTGCTTCTCTCATTAGGATAAACCCTCCATGCTACAACAATTATGCAGCCCAGTTCACTCCATGTCACAGTTACTATTATTACCCCCTTTATGATACTAATATGCTGCACTTCCTTTAAGGAGTTGTGAAGGTGTAGGTCAGAGTGTGCCGTCCTCAGAAGAGAAAGACCCGAAGGAAGAGAGTGGTTGCGCAGAGGGGATCTTAGTGGAAATAGAACAAGAGGAAGAATTACAGAGGAGACCGATGGAAGTGTGTTTGGTTGATGAGGGAGGAGCTGAACTGGACTTGATCATGTGGGAGGAGGTGAAAGGGGAGGACAAAAACGCGTGGACAAAAACTGGTTTGGGGAAGGCGAGCTGGGAAGATGCATGAATAGAGGGGTGCAGACCGACTGGATAACGGATGAGAGAGGCAAGGCTGACCTTGCTCAAGGCTTCCCTAATTTACAGAAAGGTGGGGGATTGCTACCAGAGCCTCTACCACCTAGC